CGGGCTCCCTGCTCGACGGGGAGTCTGCTTCTCCCTCTGACCCTCCCCCCCATGTGCTTTCTCTCTCTCTCATTCTCTCTCTCTCAAATAAATAAAATCTTTAAAAAAAAAATCAAACTGGACAGACTCATTTCAATCCTCAGGCTAATAAATTACTTCAGTTTTTGGAAACATATACTGACACTTCAGTTCCACTGTGGAGCAGAGAAAACAAACGGGGGCAAAGTGAGGTAGGCTGTGCAGTATCAAATTGGTGAGGTGCTCCTATATGCCATGGGGGTATGTGAATGGCTTATTTGAATAATTCCATGGACAAACATGGTAATGATACCCATTATGCTACTAAGACTAAAATACTAGTCTGTAAAAGTGTACACCATACCATAATACAGTACACAAATACTTCCTTTTAATGTACATGAAAAAAAAAACCACAACAAAATACTAGTAAACTGATTCCAGCAATATATAAAATGACCTAAACATCATGACTACTTGGGATTCAAACCATGGAAGCAATGTTGGTTTTACATCTGAAAATGAATTAATGCAACGAACCATTAATAGAATAAATGTCAAGAACTACAGAATCATCTCGACTAACACAAACAAGCATCTGACAGAGTTCAACCTACCTTCACAAGGAAAACACTCAATAAACTGTGATAAACTACCTCAAAAAGCTACATCAGCATGATATAGGTAATCAATGAAAAACCCAGAGCTAACAAATACTTGATAGTGAAAAAATAAAAGTTTTCTAAGATCAGAAAAAAGACAAAAAAGTTTGCTTTCACCAGTTCATTTCAATGTGGTAATTGAGGTGTTACAAGGGCAATTAGGCAAGAATAAAAAAATGAAAGCATTCCAGGTTCCAGAGAACATACATGCTACCTTCCCAGGCTGACGTATGGAATCACAGACTGTCGTGGCACATTTGTGTGGACACACACAGACACCCAAATTCACGAACCCCGAGAGATAATGGCCCAGAGACACCCAGCTCAGGCCCTCTGCACTCCTCTGAAGCTTTCTCTCCCTCCTTAGGACTAGGCATCACCTGATACATTACATATCTTACTTGTATGTCTTGTTTCTGGTCTCCTAGAATGTCAGCCTCAAGGGGACAAGGATATTTGCTTCCTATCATTCACTGCAGCACCTACTAAGAGCCTGTTACACTGGAGATCGACCCTTATTGACTAACTGGCCTCAAAGACACTCACACACCCCAACCTCATCACAGGAACCATTTCTGCTTGGCTTGATCATAGCAGAGTGAATTGTTCTCATCTCCTTCCCATGTGACAGAGAGGTGTTACCTGGCCCCCAAACAAACCCCCAAAGGAGGATCCATGTTCCCCTCACGATGGCCCAGTGACTTCACACTTCCTGAGCAGAAACCATACAAGGCCATCTCTAAAAGAACACAACTCAGGAGCCTCAAGAGGTAAGTTGGGGCCCCTGACAGCTGGAGCCACCATGTGCCAGCCCCTCATGCTGCTATAATTGCATCCAGAAACACACCCCTCATGACATTACATGTCCTCATTTTGCTTTTTTTTTTTTTTAAGATTCATTTATTTATGTAAGGGTGGGAGGGGCAGAGGGAGAGAGAGAGAATCTCAAGTGGATTCCCTGCTGAGCACAGAGCCCCACGCCAGTCATGATCCTATGAGATCATGACCTGAGCCGAAACCAAGAGTCAGACGCTTAACCAACTAAGCCACCCAGGTGCCCCGCATTTTGCTTTTCTATGGAGGATTCACTGAGGGTAGCACAGATAGGTATCTCCTCCCTCAGCTGCCATGGCCTCTGCTGAGTTTTCCTCAGTATGGTATCCATGTCCGCCTGAGGTCTCACCTGTGCACAGACCTCGCTCTGGTCAGCCATGTGGGCCTGTCCTCCCCAAAGCCATGATGTCTATCCTACTTAACGTTTGCTGGTGGGGAGCGTGGCAGTCTCAGGACCTAGACCTCAGGTCTCACAGCCACAGAGAGGTCACTTTGTGAACTCAGGAAAGCACTGGATGCTGTTGCAAGACCACGTCAAGACGTTCCACAACCCATTTCTGCCTCTTCAAGCATCAGGTGATGTGGCCTCTGACAAAGGAGGGCACCACCTCCTGCGCCTGGGCGCTTTCGGGAAGAAGGGAAACCCCCGTGTTCCTGTCACTTTTTTAACGTTGGACTCCGTTGCATTCTGGGGGCTATGTTTAAAATGGGAAACTCAGGGCTATGGAGGGTCTGTCAGGGACCTCCATTTCCCACAGACCACCAGCCAGAACTCTGTAGAGTGAGTCCTATTCCAGAAAAGGGTAGGCCTGGGCCTTGGGGGTGTTGGTTCCAAACTCACTCTGGAGGGAGGCTCTGAGGTGAGGGAACCTGGGCTTAGTCAGCATATGGGCAGCTGAAACCTCAAGGTGGCCTGTGCCACAGAACTCAGGGAGGGAGGTTTAGGGACAGCAGGGCACCTGATGTCCTCCTGGGACTAGAACAAAGCAGGGTTCTCTTTTTTGACATCACTGGAGGTTTTGAGACTATTGTGAAACTGTGCTTGTTGGTGCATAGCTGATGTTTACGGGGCAGCAGGGATTATTATGCTTGAGGGGCCTGTGCCTCCTGACCTGCGTTCTGGGTTCTTCCACAGCTTCACTTCACAGTCACCTGGGGTTGTAACCAAGAACATTTCCAGAGTAGTATAGGTGTTGCATTAAACTTAAACTTGGCAGGGCACCTGGGTGGCTCAGTCGGTTAAAATCCGACTCTTGATTTCGGCTCAGGTCATAATCTCAGGGTTGTGAGATCCAGCCCAAGGTGGTGCTCTCTTCTGGGCATGGAGCCTGCTTAAGAGTCTCTCTCTACCTCTGTCCCTCCCACCCGCCCTTAAATTGCTCTCTCTCTCTTAAAAAAAAAAATATATATATATGTATATATATATTTGGTATTTTGATATTTCTATAATATCAAAATTCTATAATAAAAT